ACTTCTACCGCTCTATTTTTTTTGTTTGCCGAACTGTGGCTTGCGATCGCCCAACTTATGGCGTCTTTTGTAAGCGGGAACGACCAAGTTCGAATTTTTCACGTCCTGGGGTGGTGTCTGGGGCGTGACTGGGAGCTAGGTCGCCCCCAAAGGCTGAACTAGCGCCGGTTCGCCTCCAGACCGCTCTTTTTTAGCGCCCTGGGGGGCCGAACGACTGGACATGCTCTAAATTAAGGCTGCAGTCCGTACGTGAATATGGTCCGCACATCGAGCTCTGGCCGGTCGCCATTAATTTTGACAAATAAAGGAAAAAACATATGGCTCAGATGAGTCGGAGGCTGCCTGGAGATTCAGGAGTAGCATGACAAGTGTGCATGCATATAGGACTGGTGGCCTGCAGCTAGCCCGGCCGCAAAATCTCATCAAGATCCCACTTGCAGCTACTATGGGAGGACACCTTAATTGCATACTGACATATGTCGGACGTTTTAATCTTTTTTATAAAAGGAATACGACGGGGGTTCGTACAACCATAGCTAATGTGCAACGATTTGACTATACAATGGCGAACATGTGAATTATGATGGTTGATAGCTATGACAGGTAATGCTACATCTACAAAAAATAAATAGCATAAAACATGTGTGACGTATGTGCATGTCAGTCAAGTTAACATCCTGTTAGAATACAACTTACCAAGAGAGGTTTACGGCTGACAAGTCGAGACAATTGCTTGCCAGTAGTGTTTTCTTGTGCTACCACTCATTGTGGACCACTTGATGTTGCAATCAGACATGTCGTTGTCCTTTTTATGACGGACCGGATGGAACACCCAAAAGCATAATCTAGTAAAATGTTCTTTCAAGGAAATAACATAAAACAAGCCATAATTCCGGTGAGTCTTGTTCTTGCCCTCGAACATGTTCAACCACGACAAATGAACCATGTTTACTTGCTGAACATAAAGCAACACGAGTAAGTGTGGTTATGCCAAATGAAGTGATCCATGAGGTTAAGAAATCTGGTACGGAAGGACTTGTCCTTAAGCTTGATTGTGAGAAAGCATATGACCGAGTTAGTTGGGAATTTCTATTTGAGATTCTGTGCTCGAGAGGTTTATGTACAAAATGGATCAATTCGATTAGAAAAACTATTATTGTTAGGATCAATGACACCAATGGCCCCTACTTTGTAGGTGGAAAGGCCTCAAACAGGGCCATCCATCAACCCCCCTGCTTTTTAACTTAGTTGCAATGTTTTTTCAAAATTATTGTTTAAGGCTGCTAGGCATGGCATTATTTCTGGGCTGGCGACAATCTCCTATGCCTTGAAAATTCTATAAAAAAGGCTAGAAATTTGAAGTGGATTCTTTCCTGCTTTGAAAACCTTTCTGGAATGAGAATTAATTTTCATAAAAGTGATCTTCTTAGCAATAACATCGAGGAAGGTGTGGCAAAAATCTTTTGCGTAGCTTTTTTGCTGTCAGCTGGGGTCTTTTTCCATCAATTACCTAAGGGTGTGTTTGGTTCGAGAACGAAGTGTAATGGAATGGCATGGTTCCATTCCGGTGTAATGGGTCGGTTCCGTCTTTGTGTTTGGTATGGATAAATCGAAGGAACGGAATGATTACGTTTTGGTGTTTTGTTTGAAGAATGGAATGGAATGGATTTGTAAGTCGTCATCCATCCATCCATGCAACAATGCTCGGTAAACATTGAGTTCGATTTCTGAACAGGGGTTTGAGCATCAACAAATCAGACTCGAGCAATTTTTGTTTGACCAGCAACGAAACGAATTCATCTATCCATGCGACGAAAAAGAGTGTAGGTACACCAATCGGACTCAAAGCACAAGATAAACAGCAGCTAGAAGAAATGTACGACAGTTGAACATGGCGGCCGGCTGGATGTGAGGCTTGGCTTTGGCGTCCCCACGCGCAACCGCAGCTTCTGGCGGCGCTTGCTCACGCGGTCAATGGATGGCGCCTAGATCAAGCATGGCAGCGCGACTCTCCCGGCGTGCGTCGCCGCTGTTGCCCAGCTTCAAGATCTTCTCGCAGCCGCTGTTGCCCAGAGGATAGGGAGGCTGTGCTTCGGAGGTGGACGAGACGACGAGGGCCGGCGGCGCAGACCAGAGGAGGGGAGAGGCCGGTGGCGTAGATTGATGGAGGGGAGAGATGAGGGAGAGGAGCCTGCACGAGAGAGGATAAGGCTGCGGGAGCGCGAGGAAAGAGACCGATTCCGCGTCATCCGCCCAATTGGGAGGACTCACCCGGTTCCGGATCTGGGCCGAATATTCTGTCTGTGGGAACCAGGTGGTGACCGTTCCACCTGCCTACTGAACGCGAGAACGAGCCCCGCGAACGGGTTGGACCCATGCCATTCCAGTCCATGACTGCAACCAAACACACCCTAAGTGTCCCTTTAAACTACGATGAGCTACGGAGGGAGGACTTGCAACCTATCATCGATAGGATTATAAAATTATTCTCTGGTTGGATGGGGAGGACTCTGTCCTGCCGGGGTAAATTAATTTTGTTGTGTGCTTGCATTATCAGTATTCCTGGTTATCTTATGGCCATTGTTAAGTTCCCCAAGTGTTATATCAATGCAATGGACTCCCAAATGTCTCATTTCTTTTGGGGAAATAAGGGGGACAACCATAAGTACCACCTAGCTAACTGGAGTTTCGTATCCTGAAAGAACAAATTTGGTGATCTAGGTGTTCCAAATATTAGACATTTTAATATGGCTCTTCTAGCCTCTTTGGGGAGAAGATACTTTGACAGTGAAGGGAGGGATTGGAAAACTCTGATTGATCACAAATAGATTATTGATAAACCTAATGTTTTGTGGGCTAAAGTTGGAGTTGGATCTCGTTTTTGGAAAGGAATTACATGGGCTATAAATGCCTCTAATGCTTTCGATAAATGGAAGGTGGAAAATGGTGAGAAAATAACTTTCTAGCATGACACATGGTTGGGAGATTGCTCCCTTAAAGTAAAATATTGGGCTTTGTTTGAAATACGTGATCAACGTCTCTGTTCCCTTGCTCAAGTCTGGGATGGCATGAACCTAAAACTAAATTTTAGGAGATGTGTAGATCAGTCTGGGAGGGACTTGTGGTTGCAATTGTTGAGTAAGGTCTATAAAGTGTCATTAACAGAGCATTCAGATGAACCCATTTGGTTGCTAGAACCAAATGGCAGATACCCTGTTAAGTCCTTTTATCATAAAATTAAATCCGGAGGTGTGGTTTCTACCATTGGTGACTGTCTTTTGAAAGTCATCTGCCTCAGTATATTCCTATCTTTCTATGGCTAGCTGTCCTACAAAGTCCTAACTAGAGATAACTTGTCTAAGAGGAGACATGTAGATGCTATTACTTGCTTTGTTTTGTAATGAACCTGAGAATGTGAAACATCTTTTCTCCGAATGCACCGTGGCTTCACATGTTTGGGGTTTCATTGACGAAGCTTTTCAAATTACTGCTCCTATTTCGTTCCATGATATTATTGCCATTTGGCGATTGAATAAAAGTAAACCTGTGCTATGTATGGTTATTGCAGCCTCTTTATGGAGTTTGTGGACTCTAAGAAATGATTTCTGTTTTCAGGAAAGAACCTAGAAGGGCATGTGTTGCGTCTTTGCAAAACTAAGCAGGTTCCTTCATCAATGGAGCGTACTCTGCAAGGACACTCAAGTTGTGCTCCTCCGAAGTGCCTTCTTTTGTTGGAGAAGCAGTAAGGAGAGCTACATAGAATTTCTTGGGGATGACACAGAGCTCAGGTGGGCGCGACTCCTGGGAGATGTGTGATATATAGCTCTTCTTAGGGCCTATTCACCCCTCTTATGAGTTCTATCCTCCTTGACATGTAATATATCTAGAAAAAGTGTGCAGAGACGTTCTTTAGTCGGACATCTGTTTGGTTGCCTGCCATTTAGTTAATCTCTAGCCTGATCAATTCTGACAGGTCGTATGCTGTGAACCATCTTGCTTCACTCTATAAAATAAAAGTGGACGGGGGAGGGGGGGCTTTCATTCAAGAAAGAAAGCAACACGGTTATCAATTTAAGATGAATTTTTATAACACTTAATTGCAACGGGGAGGCTAAATAGCACAAGAGAAAGTATGCCCAACAGTTTGGTTGTGGTGTTAGCTCCTTTCTTTTAAATATCTTGGCATTGCAACTCACTCTCGGAGACTATGTAATAGAATAGGTTTTTAATTTTCAAAACAAAACAATTTGGGACCTCATTGAGATTTCAAATTTTACTTTGTTTTAATGAATATTAACCTAATTGAATTTTCTTTTGAAATTAGTTTTAATCTGGCTCGGAATTTCGGAGTCAAAAATGTTTCAGACCCCACTGAAGTATGCGAAATTTCAATGAAATTTCGTTGAAAATTTTAACCCTAAATAGACACTTGAAATACATAGAAGTTCATAAATAACTCTAGTGTCTTAAAGGGATAGATGTTCATTTTTCAGTGCTAGATATATCCGTTTCAGTGATAGATGTTCATAAATAACTCTAGCTAGTACTCCCTCTGATCAATATATTACTAGTCGCTCACACGGATATATCTAGACATATTTCAGTGCTAGATATATCCGTTTGAGCAACAAATAATATGGATAGGAGGGACTACTACTTATCGACACGGTGTTGACCAATGTCTTTATTTCACAATATTTTCTAAATGCCCCTAAAGTAATCATTTCTGAGAATAGACCCAGATTTTTCTGGCAACGTCATTACCCGCCATGGTCATATTATCTGACGAATTGCGAAATTTAGTGTCAAATCCAAGGACAAGGATGGCTAGACCTTAAAAACAAATATCCAGTTAACTATAAGAGCGCTGATATGAATCCAACGCATACACAGCAGGAACTTTGAAACAAATGGTTATAGCTAACTATAACGTACCTAGCACCGGAAATAAAGGGTTCGGACCAAGGATACTGGCAGAGTTTGATCGATCAGCCGACCGGTTACAGCCGGAGAGCCAAGTCGAGCTCGTGGTCGCGCTCCGACGAGCTCCTGCCGCGCATGTGCGCCACGGAGCCTGTTGCAGGCTCCCCGGAGATCTGAGCAGTGGTGGCAGCCCTCCCTGCCTTCCAAGAGTGCGCCGTGGCAGCAGTGGTCTCCCGGAGGCGCTTGGCGACGGCGCGCTCTTGCTTATGCGCGTTTTGGTGGCCACCGTGCCCTTGCGCGGTGCCGAACTTTTGGTCGCAGTAGACGCATGAGAAGAAGCGGGGGAGGGGCGGGGCGGTCGTCACGCACACAGCAAAGCCCAGAGTGAGCTCGAGGCTGAGCTCCTCCTGCGCGCTACTCTCTACTTGCTCCATTGTTATCGTATATGACTGAATGTATGAGATGAGCTAGTTAAGTTGATCCAAATCTTGAGAGCACAAGTAGCCAACCTAGGTACACGCCTGGTATTATTGTGTGTAGTCAGCTGGTGGCCCTCAACGTAGCCCTACCGGCAGGCTGGGATGAATGGCCTGCATGGCGCAATGCGCATTGACGACGAGATTGTACCGTTTCACCGGCCGGTCGGTCCCCATTTAAGTCGCCGGCTGGAGACGATTTCTCTACATACGAGTATTTATGTACAGGTGCACGTAAGTTCCGTCAAGGTTGCTATTACTGACGAGACGTTTCAGGGATCATGGAAAGAGGAGATGGCAATATATGATGACTTTGATTTGATGGTGCTTCTCGGGTATCCAGTTTTGATCTTCAAGATAGGTCTGACCTTAATTAGTTATATCTTGTAATGACAGTGTTTTTGCATCTTTACCTTGTTGAAGTCACAGCTTGGATTTTTTCGGACGTGATCTTCAGGGTGAAAACTCAGAATCTCACCTTCGGTGGTTGGATCTGCCAACGGCAACACGTGTTCCTTTTTTGGAGGTGTTGCTACAAGAGAACCTTTCTCGTTATCTATGTGATGTCAAGTGATGATTGGTGTGGGTGGCGTAGTTGTACTTCTTTATTCGTTGTTTTGAATAGTTAAATATTTTTTCGCCCCTACGCCTAGGTATAACTTCGATCTTCTACGACTTTGCTCTTTGTCGGTGGGATTCTTCGTGTGTGTGTGTGGTATTGGTTGTGTGCATCTTATTGATCTAGAGGTCGGGAGTGGGCTCATTGTGTGTGTATGTCAATGATGCATAATTTTAACTTCCTTATTATCGAAAAAGGGTTGATATCCGCTTGAGCATGGGCCCATCTGTCACGACCAAGATGCATGGATCTATCACTAGCACATGACAGGTTTAGGCTACTGGCCACTCATTCATCTTGGCCGTAGGGGCGGCGACCCTGCACGCAGCTTATCTGGCGCTCAGCCATAGTGTGTCCGCCTTCGATGGGCGTAGGAGACCATCCGGCTCCCGAAGAAAGGTGTTGCTGATGGGAGTGGAGAGCACCATTAGTTTTCCATTGGCATCTGGCAGTACGGCATCTAGCTCTGTTCACAGGGAGGACAGCCACACAGAGGTAATGACCCGAGGGATGTAGTGAATATTGTTTTTCGATTCACTAGCAAAGTGGCCCGCTCGATGCGCGGGCTAGATCTTTAGACAATTTAGTAATGACATCATATTGTTTTGTTTTGTGTAAATAATGGCAGGATGTTTAAAGGGTACATGGTATAATATATTTTTCCAGGTTTTCAATTGTATATTTTGATTCTAAGAAAGAAATAGAATAAGAGCTGCAAGTTCCCATAGATGGAAAACATAATCTTGATACAAATATGCAATTTGATGGCTGGATGCAAAAGAACTTTTTTATATTCCCAAGGTTATATGAAATTTAATATTACATATGTGTAGTAATTTGAGTAACAACCCATATGTCAATTTGTAATTCTGCGTGTCATGGGAAACTGGATAGTCCACATATACTATTACTATCTACCCTTCCATTAGCACATCCTATCATTTATTTTATCTTTTTCACTATCTGTCGTTCGAAATATCCTATTGTACATGGCCGCCTCATTTATTTATGTAGCATTGTAGCTGTTCACATGCATATTCAGTGCCTAATTTCACTAAGATCTTCCTTTTTTTCACTCGCACAATTAAAGTCACATCCCATCCAGAAATGGCTTGAAGGATGGAACCCGTAATTGCAAGCAAATGTCGAATTGTATAGCAATGTTTGGGTGAGAAATAAAAGTAATTTTATCTACAAAGGTATCCCTTTGTGTGAACATCGAATAAATAAATTGCTCGTCTAAAATATGTATACCATTTGGATCTTGTGAATTTCAGTGTGCCGATTGTATCCTCTATGTTAGCACATTTATGCTAATTTGCTTACAACCCTGTTTTGTTACGAAAAAATATATCATAGATTCACAAATGTACACTGCAAAACTATGTCGTAGTACAATTTTCACCCTAGTCCATCAATTCCAGTCGGCATATATTAATTGCTGGCATATTGCCATATTCACAGCTACACAAAAGCCATGATATATACTTACCTTTTTGTTTTAGATTGTCATTGCTGACACTGATAAAATGTAGATGGTGTGTCATATTATACAGATTTTTTCGATAAAGGATGAATTTTATTGGTTCAAAATGGAGCATCAAGAGGATACAAACACTATGAGCACACATCCGGCATCTGCATAGCTAAGATGCACACAGCCAACACCAACACACACAAACACGCCGGCAACAGCAAAGTCGTATAAGACCGAAGCTATGCATAGGTGAAGTAAAAAAAGAAAAAGGAAGGCCCAAAGCGATCAGATCCACAGTTGGCAAACTATAGCAATGGCCATATCCGCACCAACCATCTTAAGACATCACACGAACGACGAGACTCTTCAACAGCAACGCCTTCAGGAAGGTGACGACGCTTAAGCGCCGACGTCGCCAGATCCAACCACGAAGGCAGAATCAAGGTTTTCACCCTCAAGAACCAGCCTGAGCATGTCCGAGCATTGCCTTCAACAAGGTAACGACATAAAACAACATCGCCATTGCCAGGAACCAACATAGGTCATACCTAGGCTTTCGCCACGGAGCTCGAGACCGGTACACATAGCACCATCATCAAAGTCTTTCATGTGTTGTCACCACCACTTTCCGCTATCCCAGCAGCTACGTGCGATGTGCGATCACCGCCGCTGCACAACCATTCCTCTACGTCAAGTCTTTACCCATAGTTTACATCTCATCACTGAAATCGACCACCGGATCTGGAGAGATAAATCCTCACGGAGATCTTTTAGTGACCCCAGCAGTCATGGAGCCGCAGGAGGGCGCTGCAACAGTCTACACGCACCACCACCCGGCCGACCGAGTCTAGATCACCGCCAACATGCCATCTAGATCTGAACAAGGGCTGCATTGGATGGATCAAATCTGACGAGCAGATGCCTTGCACGTGAGGTAGCCAACGCGTGAGCACGCACAATCATCTCCTGTAAGGCAGCCGCAGCTCGATCAGATCCGCGTGTCCCCATCCCGCTCAGGCTGATCCGGTGCCAACGCCTATGCCCATCAACCGGAGCACCAAAGCAGCACGGCAGCACAGCATCACGTTGGCACCACACAGATGGCACACCAGTTATGAAGGCCGAGCCACCAGTGCTTCCCCGGCGGCAACGCACACGCCCGAATTGGCGATGGACGTCTCGGCGTGAGTGGCACTGCCATCCGCGTCCACCGCGAGCTCTCCCTGCAACCTTCGGAGGCAGGGGCCACCGCCACCGTGTCGAGAGCAGCGGCAGCGGTGGCAAGTGGGCCGTTGAGCGGGGGTCCGGCCGGCGGCGCGCTAGGGTTCCCCCGAGTCGCTCCGTGAGCGACACGGGGGTCGGGCCTGGCTAACACGTGATATTATACAGATGGAGTAGTGAAAAATGTATATACCTAGCTATCACGTGCTAGTGCAGTAGTTGCTACTATGAGCCAAGTCTTCAATACGATCCAATACTTAGCTTCTTGCTAGAAGGCTGCATGCATGAGCAAGTTTGAACTCCGATACTGCTGATGTGCCGAGGGAGCCAGGTTGAATGCTACAGGCGACAGATGCGTGCTTGAGGACGTGCTCACGTACGAGATTCCTGATTTGTTTTTAGGTCAGCCAAGAGGACATATGGGAAGCAGGCTCTAGTCCATGCGATTCTGCTACCTGCCCATGAGATCTTTGGTCGTGATCCTTCCATGGCAACGTTTGATATCTCCACTCACTGAAAGGTCCTATACCTCAACCTCCCCGCCTAGGAATCCTCGGCCGAGGCATTCTTGTATCCTCACATGTGAAATCGAATTGAAGCAGCGTGTCCTCGATTGTCGTGAAAGGCGCTGGAACCCTGCGTCCGAGGAATTCTCCTCGTCCCCATCTTTTTGCTGCCTGTTGTCGTGGAAGGCACTTGAATCGCACTGCAACATCCCTGCCCTGAAATTCTTGGCTAAAGTCCTAGTCATCAACCAATGCGTCTGCAGGGGCAACATATGTGGAGCTAAAAAGTAACAAATTCAAACAATACAAAATAGTACCACTACACTAGTACACTTATATATCTGTTCCGCATGGCTATTCCAAGGGCGAAGGTACAACCAATGTTACAATTGTTATTATCGATGGTTTACATTTATATTGGCGGCACAAGTGCCTTTTGGTCGTGTTGCAACATACAATGAAATTTCTTTGTAGTATTGTATGTGTTATATTGGAGAAAGTATTAACATCACCTTTTCAATTTAATATTGCTCAGCTTATCCTTATTGAGCTTGTACTACAGGATTCCTACAGGCCTACGACTATTTGGAAGTACTATATACCTTTCTGATTGATGAATATACTTGCTTCAAAATAATGAATTCAAAGAAATCCAAAGAAGTATAATTCTTCAAATTTGAGCATTGGTTCGTATCATAAGCAACCGAATGTTATAAACTTGCAGTGCAATATGCAATCAACCTGGTGATGTTGTTCCCGGGGATGTATGTCCCGGCTAACCTGGTGATGAAACTATGCACTAAGTGATTAGGTAGAAATTGCACATCCTTTTTTATGAATTTTAGGTATGTTATAATGAAAATCAATATTTCAATAATAAATAAAGCATCATCAGTCACTGGATATTTGTTAATTGTTCATAATGGTTTCCCATAGGATTAGAATCCCTCTTCCAGCATTCACGCTCGGCAATATCCAATCATTGCCGTGACAATAACCATTGTTTAATAGAGTTTAAAAAACATTGGAAACCTTTTTGAGTCATAATGGTTAAAATATATTTATACGTGCCATGTATATATAGATCCCCCAACCAAAAAATAGAGAAGTAACCTTGGAAATACACGACGGACAT